TTATTGTTGAACTGCAGAGAGTTCTATAGTAAACAGTCTCCTGCGCTGAGTTGTTGGTGGGTCTCGATGATGATGATGTAGTTGTCACGGAACAATACGAGGTTTTATATAAAAATAAAGAAATCGGAATCCAGGATGGAAGATAGACGTATTTCAATGAATCAGACTATTTTGACCAGAATAAAACAAACTTTTGAAAAGAGAAACGTATTACTCTATTTCAATTATAGGATGTTATATTGTACCTAAATTATACCGTAGTAGTAACAAGGGTTAGGTCGAGAGACGTAAGACAGATTTGTAGTGTTATAGCCGATTGACAATCGACATCTGGTTTTTGTTTATTTCAGAGTGATATTTATACAAGTTCAGTATGATTTGGTGGGGATTGAGTCTTGGAATCAGAAGTTTTTTCGGGTGTCGGATGTTTACAAGACAATGTTATCTTGAGGTGTGGTGTTATCGGTGTTATTACATGATCATGATGGAGGTTTTTGGAAGAATCCCTTTGTGAATGCTGTAGCGTCCTACGGTATCGAATCCCTTCGATTTCCAAGAACGCTTATCACGCGCCAATTTAATATTGCGTGACTAGTTGAAATAATAAGGATCCAAAATGTGTGTGGTCAAAGAGAGTGTTTATTTAGTGAAAAGTGTAGAATAGTTATATTGGGACGTTAACGGAGTACCGTTTCGAACACGCGTTTGTATGAGCAATTTAGTTGTTTGAAGGATTGGTGCCGAAGACGAACTGACTCGTCGATTTTGCTGTAAGTCCTGTCTCGTCGTGTTCGGTCCGGAGTTTTGTCTAGTTTAGTTCTGATTGGGTAAAATAGATGTTGGTGGTGGAAAGGTAAAGAGTTTTAATTGGACAGAGGGTGTGACATAAGGACCTTTGGCTAAGGAGTAGGAAACTGTCAAGGAGCCGATTTCTGATGGTCGATGACGTGATTTATAAGTGTCGTCCGTCCGTCGCTTGTTGGGTCTGTCACAAGTGGGTCCCATCTGTCGCGTCTGGTTTCTAGTAAAATACCTAAATTTCGCTTTACCTTTGTACGCTTAATCCGCTAGAACGGCGTTGAGGCACATTGAACCTCCGGAATTGCAGTCGCGGTATAAAATATAAAATAGACCGTTAGGTCTGGCAAAAGTGTAAGCCTTAGAATAAAATTATGTTATAAACTCGCTCTCCGGGACGGAACAAATGCTTTGTCGGTGGTTTTATAAGGTTCGTCTGTCTGCTGATTGGTTGGTATAATATTAGGGGTGTGTGCTAGCTTCAGCGTTTTTCGGTGGTGGTGGTTGTTTAAACAATCTAGGTTCTTATGCCTGTCGTTTTAAAGGATAATATATCGGTCCTTGTCACGATTTACCCAAGTGGTGGCTTAGGTGACAATGAATGTATAAAAGTCAAGGGACGCTGACAATAAGGACAAACAGTCCTTTAATTGACCTAGGACATTGCGGTCCGAGGGCCGCAACATCCTACATATATCCATCAGTTCTACGCTTGCTGTATTTCTTCAGTACTTAAACAATGGTAGAAGATAATCATATAGAGGTGTAATATCTAAAATTTCAGTTAAATTCTTGTTATATTTGTATTTACTCAATTCGATATTACATAAATCATGTTTAAAAATCTAGCATACATTTTTTCAGTAGTACAAAAATAAATAAAGGTATGGTTAAAATGTAAAAAAAAGAACGTAGGATAAGCATTCCAATATTAACTAAAAATTTTTCCACACAAGATTGTATTATATTTTGGAAAAAACGCAGTTTAAATGTTTGATTATTTGCATTCGTTATACGAAGCAGCGTCGATGTCACTGAAAATCACTCGATGTTTATTTTATTAAATCAGGAATATAATCGTATATTAAAAATAATTAACGATTTATGGTGAAATTCGTGATATCAAGAAGATGGTCAGGTACACACACACGCGGCAAATATTCTTTCAAATCATTTTTCTTTAAACGAAGCCACATTGGAAAAAATTTTGTTCACGCCTAATTTTATCACGTAAAATCGTTCACTTCCTATTTATATTAGCGAATGACAGGATAACACGTGGAGATCACATTCTGCCTCTCGTAGAGACAAAGCCAGCTCTTTGGTAACTATGTAACGTAATGGACATATACAATGCTCTTTCTCGGAACAAACGTTACTATGTTACCTTAATAAGCAGCAGCACTGTTGCGTGATAACTTCCCTCTGCACCTGTCTGACACCATAAGCACCGATGTATAATGCAGCCAATAATTATCATCACATGTGTCAGCTAACAACATGAGAAACACGTCGATTGAAGAAACTAACCAATACGATGTTCTTAGGTGTTATGCCACATATAAATTATTATATGCTAGTTATATAAAAGATTCTTTCATACGAAATCTGCGAATAGTCTTCGAAGCAATGTTATAATATTCCGACACCCAACAGTCTACGCGTATTCTTTTATCACACCTATTAAATTCTTCGTCTGATTCACAAGTCGAAGCAATTGATGCTAAAAAGAATCATCAAGAATACTTGCTTCAGCGTGGCTTTGACCTTCTGTTGGCCACTTCCTGCCAACAGTTGCAGAATCAAACCCATTGACTTTAAATTTCTACAAATGGTCAGTGTTGAAAGACAACGTTATACAGTTGGTCGCATAAGTGTTCGTCCACCTATCGCAGTCGGCGTATGTATAGGGAAAAGAAAGGAAAGGTACACGTAAACTGGAAATAAAAAATATAGAAATTAATCTTTATTAATACAAAACAAACTGTCATTGTGTGAAATTCGTAGTTACTGTACATAATGAAAAATTAAACAAAATATTAGAATTTATAGGAAAATTTGAATGCAAAAGTATCCATCCATAGATGTCTATGTTAAGTAAGGAAAATGTTGAACGATGAAACAAGTGAATGTAATGGGGTCTAATGAGTTTGTTTAGTTTCTAGCAGTTCGCTTCAGACAGTCAGGTAGGAAGTATCAAAATGAAAATGAGATGAGAAAAGTGAAACATCTTTATTCAAACGAGAAATTACTGTAAAATTGTGGAAAGAAGCAAAATCCAAAAGAGAAATTGCAAATATAATGAAAAAACCTCGAACTACTATACAATATATATTGAAAAAGTTTAAAGAAGACAAAACTGTTATAAATAAACCACGACAAGGAAGACGAAAAGTACTATCTAATCGTGATGAAATACATATACTGAGAGCTGTCAAGCAGGATCCTCATGTCTCTACGCCTGAAGTACACAAGAAGGTACTGTCTCTGTTAGAGAAAGTAGTACTCTGCGTGGCTGAAAAGAAGTCATCTAAGAAACTTGTAGGACCGAGTCCCCACCAACCCAACCATTCTAACATCATGGCAGAAGTAGAGTAAAGCGCTTCCCATATTCGTAAAATTGATCCCTTCCTATTAGCCTGGTCATAGAACACCATGTGACAAAGAAAGCGAACGAAGCAACGAGACAAAGTGAGACAGACACAAGAAATAGATGCAAGAGCGTAGACTCATCCCAAAAGCATATTAACTTCAGATTCTTCTGATGAACGCATGATTATTTGCAATTATTAATTACTAATTAGCATCTTGATTAACTTTTCATTGCATTATGCAGCAAACGTGATGTACTATACACATATTTTTTATATTTATGTTGTATCGTATGATTTTCTTAAACGGTGATCTAGTATGATGCAATTATATAATTAATTTATTAACTTGCACTGCAACATTTATTTGAAAGGAATTATTCATTAAAAATGCCTTCTCCAATACATTGTTTTTCAAGTAATAACTTCTTTAAACACGTTAACAATTACAAATAGTACAATTCTCAATACAATTTTAACTTCCTTTTTATTATTAAAAACATTTGTTACGAACCCAATCTGGTGCTCAGTTCGCGTGGCAGGCACGTTGTTGGGTTGTAAGGCCAACTGTGCTGTAGACGGGCGTGAAGGACCAAATGGTTCGGTTGTCTTCCTCTCAAATGTCCAATGGTTGGACGTTGCCACACGTTATGAGTTGTAGGTGCCCGTTTTTGATTATATAGCAAATAGTCAATCCACGGGCTTATGTAGTACTATCCACAAAGCTTATGTAGTACTTGATGATGCAGACTGTCTGTGCAGACTGCTCGATGTGTACTGATGTACGTGTGCCGATGTGTGCTGACCAACTGACTGTTGGAATGATACTGACTGGTTGACTGTTCTGGACTAACTGTCTCTTAGTTTGATACTGCTTGACTGATGGATACTTTCTAACTAACTGTCTGTGCGATGCACGATCTTTTGAAGCCCATGATTGCCAAAGGGAAATCGGTTTACCCATTGGTGGTTGACAGGACAGAGGGTGGGCCCTCGGTCCGCGAATCAGATGCCTCGAAAGAAGGGACGAACGTCTTTCGCGACCAGGTCTGCTGGTGGAGGAAGCCTCTCCCTCAAAGGGGGTTGCTGGTGGGTCACCCGCACATTCGTAACCCTTCCTGAAGGACTCGTTACTTTATGGCTCCGAAAGTCGCGACATCGCACATGACCTGGTCCTTTCCTTTGCAGGCCTATTGTCAGCCAAATCCTAAGTGCTGTTGCCTGCTTTCTAACATTAATGGCTAAAGAATGCCTCGTGTCCGGTGACCCGAGGGAAATAAAGAATTGTTTGAAAATGTATTGAAAATGAAGAAAGAAAAGACACGGAACTTGAAATAAAACAGCAATTAGAATCTGGCTGCCAGAAGAACCTAACTGTCTTCTGGGCCCGGGGTTTGTCCCAAGATGGGATAACGCATATAGCTTAATAATCGTTATCAATGTTCGTTGGTTAAATGACGGAACATCTTTATTCATGCACTAAAAACATTTTCTCTTCGTCTTATCGTAACTATTTAATAAACAATTTTTGAAGTTGATTTAATCGTATACTTATATCGTCGGTAATTCTCCACCGAAGTTGATTACACTCTAATAGATTGATTGCATCCCTCAATAGGCTGCCAGAAGTACCGTCATATACGATGTCGAAAGTTTCATAATCTACAAATACAGAAAACCAAATAATTTTGTTATTAATTTGAATAATAATATCTGGTCTGCTAAAAGCCGTTGATCATTTCTCATGCACAAAACAAATGTCTACGATGTATCATGCAAACAGTGGCATATTAAATGTTTCGATCAGGTGAATTCTTTACATTTTTACATTATTGTTGCAGCTAAAAGAATCTTGATGAACATAGTATATGTTGACTAGATTTTATTGAAGTTCGGAACTTTTAACAAATATAGTATTTCTCTAAATGGCTACATCCGACTCTAATTATAGAAAGAAGGTATTGATGTACTATTGATGTTCGCGTCCAGATCACTGTTTAGTTTATGCATTTGTGATTGTGGTATTACAAGCAGTAAAGGACACTAACAAAGGAAATAGTATTAACCCTTTCGCTGCTATGGACGACTATAGTCACCGGCCACGAGACATGATCTACACACGATGGGTGATTATAGTCACCGGCCACAAAAATTGAGTAAAAAATTAAAATGAGTGCTACCGTTCCACTTAGCTCTCTTCGCAAAGAATTGCAAGCGCTATTGCGATGGCCGGTTTTTCCTTTTTTTCTTTTTCTTCTTCAAAAGGCTTAGTCCGGAATGCTAAAGACTGCTCGATCGTAATGTTTCCATCATTGACACAACGCTTCGTTCTACGGGAGGGACTTTACAGCGCCTCCCGACGTAGCGAAAGGGTTAAGAGTAATAGCGGGGCGACTATCAGGTTCGACTCGAATGTTCAGGGCGATATCTAGGATACGGAAGAAAGGGCAAACGTCAGCGCGAAAGTATCGCTTTGATGGGATATCTACGTCTGTATCGAGTGATCGAGAAAGAAAGCTTGTGTATGAAAAGAGAGAGTATCAGACTTTAAGTAAGGGTGCAAGAACGCGGGCGAGGCAGAATACGTGTAGTCGAGACTTAGTGAGTAGAGAATCGTGTGTTTGAGAGTTAGTGTAATAGTTTAGTTTAAATAAATCTGTTTTGTTATTAACCAGTTAGCTGTGGCGTCCTCTTTTGAGAGCGCGCATCCATATGTGTCGCGAAAATCGAGCAATGACGAGTATACTCGTCAATCACAGACTAAATGTCACTGTTAAAATATTGGATCAAAAAGATGAGTTTATTTTATAAAATTGACAATTTTATTACTAATATTTACTTATTTGGTTAACATTTGTTCTCTTATTGGTTAGCTTTTATGGATATCTATGAAATTTAGTGACCGTCAAAGAATAGCTAGGTAACTTCGAGCCAGCAGCCATCATTGGGCTCAGTGCCTGGTCAGCGTCACGCATTTGTCCCGTGGTGAACCATCCCTGAAGGAACCCTATCATAAATCAGCTTTCCGACTTTTGCTTTTGCCCCTTTTACGCTGACATCTAAAAAACGTTATCATCGCGCATAAATAAATTCGTTATGCGAACTGATAAGCTGTTTCAGCCGGTGCATTCGGGGACACATGAGTTCGTTTTAAATTATTCATATTTTTTATTCGTTTGTTTTATTCCGGCCTGGCCTCGAAATATTCTAAATATCTTGAAATTTGAGAATATGTTTTATTTTTCACAAAAATTACAATTTAAATAGCCAATGGTCGCTACTTTTTACGCATGACGAGTACACTCGTCGTGGCAAAATCCTGCCACTTCTCCATGACGAGGATACTCGTCAATTACAGCTAACTGGTTGAAAGTTGTCTTAGACTCGTGTCGTTTACTAATACGCAGATTTATTGTTGTTCGCCTATTTCCATAATATTGTTAACCTAATTATTACCAATAAACATTATCATCGCTTATCCTACAATAGCGTATATTTAAAAAAAATGTACTATATTTTTATACACCACGAAAATTAATGCCAAACAAAAAGCAAACGATAACACGCGTCTACATGCACACGCAATACCTGTATAGCAAAATCACACAATATCGTGAAATCGACATACAACGTGATAATATATAAACATGTACTATGTAAAAAATAGTGTAAAAAATAAACACTAGTTTTACATTCACATTACCGATTAAAAATTTGATATTACTAGAAGCTAAAAAATTACAATAACGGCGAAAGTATGAAAGAGAATCAACTAAGAATTTTGTTAACCTAAAATATTTATTAATTAAATCATTATCGAAATAAAACAAATTATTGTTGATATCGATATATTTATATATAATTTATACTAGAATTAGTGAGAGATTCGGTACACATAATTCCATATATTTGGTATCTATTGAAAGAATTATTGAATTAGTATATCCATAAATTTTTAGCTATTTCAAGATACAAGATGCAGGCTTAAAATACAAAAGAATTTACGAATGTTTACATATACGCTATAAATTCGTTAAAAGTAGTTAATAAATGGTTAAAACGAGAACATGGTCCAGTAAACATTCCTCAAAGTATTTACATAGAAATGATAAAAAGTTACAAGTTTTTAAATAAAAATAAAATTCCTAACACATCATTCAGTCGCAATTATCGCCATAAAAATTATAGCCACTAAATACAAAATAAATCATCATAAAACCATTACAGTGTAGGTGATAATAGGAATAATATTTGCCCAAGATGTTAATTCAACAAACCTGGCAGTAAATGTATATGTAAAAATAAATAGAGATGTTTCTTATTTTATTTCATTCTGATGACATGCTCTTGTATTATGAAAAATTCCTTCAGCCCGTATCTACATGTCTTGCATACTACTGTGCGTATCGTGATGCAAACGACTAGAATCGTCATGTACATGAGATAAATAGCTTACATTCGCGAAACTTTCCAAGGAGAGATTTGAAAATTTTCCGAATGTCAATGTGAAACCCTTTTGAGACCTTAATATGACAGGTACCAGAAGCTGGCTTTCGCGTGCCGGTAAATCGTACCAAAGATAATCGTATACTGCGTCACCGAGTAGCTTGCTCTAACAATTAAATAAATATTTTAGGCTACTTTGTCTGAAGAAAATTTACATTAAAAAAGGCTACCTAAAATAACGTAAACTGTACAGTACACGAATGAAATGGAAAGAAAAATTCACCCAAGATTTCAGGTAATCGATATTTCTTTACGTTTCTTTACATTATACAAATCTTATGCTATTTTTTATACTCTTATGCAGATTAAAGAGACAGCTGCAATGGCACATGATACTTTCGGTCCAATAATCTAGGGATAACTAACTTTCAACACGAATTTCATAGTTTTATTTAGATATTCTTCGCGAAATTGAATTTCAAAATTTAATCGATGTTTTTCTGCTAATATGACCGGTAATCGGTATATTACTTTGGTAATACTGACCGCATCATGTTTGGTTACGTGATCAGTGAACGAAAAAACGAAAGAATCTTCGAGAAAATGGTATGAGACGAGACGTCGAAGAAATGTTTATTTGTATATTATAAATAAAATCGCCAAGTCCAAGACAATAGTGTTGGATGTGAAACTTGTAATTAAAAGTTTAAAGACAGTCGTTTATAAGTATTATATACCACTTTAGATACACATTACATACATTATACTAATCGATACTGTGGGGTGGCGAGCGGCGAAAGAGTCTATCTGGAGAATAATAAACAGCGGCATCGGCTTTGACTTAGGGGTTTAGCACGATACTTGAAGTGCGTGCGAACGGATGACATATTTATGATTGGTCGAGTGATTGAGAGAGAAAGCCTGTGTGTGGAAAGAGAGTGTTTTGACTTTAACACTAGACCTACCGATCTTTAATGGGTACCTAACTATGACGTGCGCGGATTACAGTAATTTAAGCGATACGATGAATATGAGTGAATATATTGATTACAGTTCTTTCTTAATACGAGTTGATACCAATTTTATTCTTAAAGCAGGTGTATGTGTTCGGTGACTGCAAAAAGGAAAATTCTGGGACCAGTCATTTTGACTGGGTTGGTAGTTTTAGTGTTAAGTAAGGGTGCAAGGGCGTGGGCGTGGCAGATTGTGTGTAGTCGAGACGTAGAGAATAGAGGATCGTGTGTTTGAGAGTTAGAATTAAGAGGAACTTAGTGTAATATGTTAATTAAATAAACCAGTTTTATTATTAAAATGGAATTGTTGTTCGTTAGACGTGCAGATCTCGGTCTGCATAGGATTAATCTACCTAAAAATCCTACAAATTGGGGGCTCGTCCTACAATACACATACAGTGACTCACGAAAATATTCGGACACCAAGGTATGTCTGAATTAATCACATCGTACCGCAGATACGTTGTACTCGTGTTGCTTAAGGGTTCAACGAATTGTTTCGGGATGAACTTGTATTCCATTATCATCCATAATTCAGAGAGAAAAAGAATGGTATGGCGGAAGACGAATAAAGAGTTCCACCATCGAAATACGAGAGACCAGAGGAATTGGCAATTTAGTTTTTATTGGCACCATCATGGACAAAAACTGTCACTCACACCTACTAAAAAATAATTTATTAAATAGTGCTGAAAAAATGGGAATTAGCAAAAATTTTTAGTTTTATCAGAATAATGACCCCAAACATAAAGCACGCATTGTTCAAGAATTCTTGCTTTATCGTTGCCCGAAAGTTCTTCATCCTCCACCACAATCGCCGGATCCCAATCCCATTGAAAATTTATGGATAAGTTAGATCGCAGAATACGAAAGACAGTAATTAACTCAAAAGAGGAAATAAAACAAAGGTTGCTGGAAGAGTGGGTTACTATCGGTACGAATTATTTGGAAAAAATTATTTTTTAATATGCCGAAAAGATCAAGACACGTATTGTGTAGCGTCCTAGGGTATCGAATCTCTTCGACTTCCAAGAACGGTTATCACGCGCCAAATTAATATTGCGTGACTAGTTGTAATAATAAGGATCCAGAATGTGTGTGGTCAAAAGAGAGTGTTTATTTACAGAAAAGTGTAGAATAGTTATAATGTAGACGTTAACGGAGCACCGTTTCGAACACGCGTTTGTATGTGTAATTTAGATGATTTAAGGATCGGTGCCGAAGACGAACTGAACTCTCGATTTTGCTCTATCTCCTGTCTCGTCTTGTTTGGTCCGGTGTTTTCTCTAGTTTAGTTCTGATTGGGTAAAATAGATGTTGGTGGTGGAAAGGTAAAGAGTTTTAATTGGACAGAGGGTGTGACATAAGGACCTTTGGCTAAGGAGTAGGAAACTGTCAAGGAGCCGATTTCTGATGGTCAATGACGTGATTTATAAGTAGCATGTTGAAAACGATTGTTTATCAAAGATGATAATGTATATTCGTCATTACAGTACATTTTACGAAAAGTATTGTATAACAGAAAGATTTTATTTACCAACCTTAATACGAAGATATTCTCCAGCGAAACAATATATAAACACCTCTAAACAGATAACTGCATAAAATAAAATAGATTGAATCAATATAGGCGCTCCTTGTCCTTCACTTATTGCCTGTAATATTCATTTTCTACACAGGATAATGGAAAAGTGACATATCGTCAGATATACAAATTGAAACGATACTTACGACTACAATAAGAAATCCTTTACAGCTCGTAACTATAGTGTTTGACACAAGCTGACCGAGAGCTATATATGTAAAAACTTTCTCGATTTTCTGTGTAAAAACAATGATTTCTTGGTAGCGATTAATGAAGAATTTTAAGTGATTTTCATTTTTATTAGTAACCTCCATTAAGTACTGACACATGATATCGATTTGACATCCTGCGTGAAATACCTATAAATAGTTCCAAGTCTACAATATAATAAACCAATATAATAAACTTCGATAGGTAATATTTTGATGCAAAATAATATTGTAAAAATGTTGGTAGAAATATTTTTATAAGTAAAGTTTCAAATGAAACGTCACTAAATATATTTAATAATAAAATAATAAAATGAAAACGATGATTTAATTAATCTTCGCGATAAATAGATTATGTTGCAATTATTATTAAATACACATATACCAAGCAAATTAATAAATATATCATATCATACTGAAATGTATATTGTTTATTGTTATTAATATAAAGAGTTATAAGTACAATGCTTGAAGTACACCTGTGCCCCATTATACTTATTATTATAAAGATATTTTTCTTTTTTATTCTTATTTCTTATTTGTACCTATTTGCAAAATAATTACAAATGGTTGTACAATATTTATTAACATCTGACTTGCGTTTCTTTAACGGCAAATACTATAGAAACACGAGAGACATATACATTTAGAATCGTATTGGTTAGGTTATTGGCTAGGTATTAGGACTAGAATAATATCGGGATATTTAACAGAACAGAAATAAGCTTTATTAATAGAATAACGGATTAATGTAATACATACACGTAGAGATTGGCCAGGTACTTCTAACACTCAGGACGCATCCCTAAACTTTCGCTCGTTTCTCGCAGTCGACTCTGATATAAATATCCTTTATACTCGATTCTCTTACACGTGGTCACTTTCGTCCTATGTCTCAAAAAACTCTTATTCTTTCAGGGTTGCACTCGTTCCAATTCTACATACATAAAAAGTGTTATAATTGTAGTAAGTCTTTTGGGTGTTTGCATTTCAACCTTCTCGTCGAAACGCAAACCTTGCAACGTCAGCATAACAGTTTGTTGTTAGTGAGTTTGTGTGAAATTCTATTCTGATTTTGTGCTTGTTCGTGATACGTATTATTTCTTCCTGTACAGACAGAAGGTTTAATCATTTTCGGATATTGTCATTCCAAGTACACCAGGGTACGTCTATTATCGTACGAAGAATTTTTGCTTGTAAACTCTCCATTTTTTGGATATGTGATTTGACCGTCAGTCCCAAAATTGGATTTCGTATGTCCAGATTGGTTTTATTGCACATTTATATATGGGCATCTCACTATTATTTTTATTGAGTTTACTCTTTCAAGACATTAACGAGTTCATAGATTTGTAGAATGTTTTGCTGTGTTTTGTTCTTTGTAGCGCAACTCTCACGTTCGGAGTTTCGTGGGTTGTCAGGCCCGTTTACACGGACGCGACAATGTTGCAAGAATGAGGCCTACACCGAATTAATCGAGCTAGACCTGGTTAGGGTTGAACTAAAGAGTTCTGATGTGCGACTATCTCTGGCACTGAGTTGATCGGTATGGGTTTGCCTTGACTGCTTTAAATTTGAGATAGAATTCCTTGGTCGTGATACTTATCTTATCCCTGGCGATTCCTGTCTCGGTGGTTTTATAAGTTCGTATGGCTACTAATTGGTTGCGGTGAAATGTAAGTGACGGGTGTGTCTTCCTATTGGCTGTGAACAATATTAGCTTCGACGTCTTTCGGTGGTGGTGGATTAAAGAAATTGGATCCACATCCCAGGTGACAACGAGTGTCCGCGAGTCAAGAAATGCTGGCAATGACATAAAAATAGTCCTCCACTTAACTTGGGATGCGATCCTAGGACCGCAACAGCTTCTGACCCATCGTATCAGTTTTATTTTTGAAGTATAACAAATGTAAATCGGCATAATCGTGACAAATGCATGCAAATCGATGTCTAAAACATACATACAAGCAAAAGACCAAAGAGTCCAGTTATTAAGTCGTTAAACCATACTGATTTTGTACCGTAAGCAAGAATAAATCTCCACTGTTTAAAAGCAAAGCCTGAAAAGTGAATTTCTCCTTGAAACCTCCTTCCAACTCGCGACCATCGCCAAAGGACAAGTCAACAGACGCCCCAAGACAGCAGATCGTGACGATTGTGAACGCCCGAAATCCGAGTCTCTAGGGAACTATCCAACACCAAGTCCGGACCTCAAGAGGTACTACCCAACATCTCCGAAGCATCCTCGCCAACCTGGAGGTACCAACACCCTCCAATACCTCCGACAACCTTGTGAGTTTCGGCCCAGCCGTCAATCCTATAAACGCGACGCAGACTCACGCGATTAGAACTCGGGGTCCCCGACCAGACGTTGACGTAAGTACATGCAACGGGGGTCTAAAGGCGAAGAAAATTTAAACTTCACGAGCGGGTACCCGTGCATCCGTGGCTGCCGTGCCCGGTAATCGTAACCCAGGTCGTGACAATAGATTCAAGTTGACTGTTTGCATACTTTTTCTTATGGTAAAGGTGACGTGTAATAAATATTTACTGTCGTTGACTTTGCAGCTACCATCATTCTCACCCTTGCCAATAGATGGATTCCTACTTGAAGGAGGTTCGAGGACTTTTCCGTAAGTCCTCGGTGAATCTTGGACCTCCCATAAGTAGAAGTTCCTATGCCATCTAAGTATCCTCGTATAACACTGGGCGTGCTAGAAAGCATTACTGACGAGTCCACCCTGGGACGAAATGCTCATCCCTTCCTGTTCCTGTCGTGCTAACTGCTACCCGTATCATAGCTCATTGACCAAAGGAGATACCAACAAGCAACACCGTAGGAACCACCGAAACAACGGAGACATTAAGTAGATACCCACAACTTCAATTCTATTAACACATAACCAGTTTTCCAAATCTGATATATAGTTTTGCAAATTGGAGGTAGCTGTTTTTACATCGTTGTGTATTGAGATTATTGCGGTGTCATCAGCAAATGTGAGAATTTGAGTGTGACTATTGGTTGTAGTGAAGAGAGTATAAAGTAGTAGCAAGTACGCTTCCTTAAGGCATGCTTGCTTTAATAAGATGGATTTGTAGCAGAAGGATGAGGGGATAGGGCTAGTGATTCAGAAGACTTTCTTCACCAAGGTCTTTATTTGACTGCTTGGTTCTTCGGCTCGAGAAGGTTCGACACCCCTCGACCGATCGTCTTATCATCGATGGGTTTAAGCGTTTTAGGCGTAAACAATCGGAGACGCTGCCTGTCGCCTGACTGTTCACGCCGTCTGTTCTAAGATCACTTACAGATTGTTGTCTGTGGTTGTCTGTAGTTGATTTGTTACATCGAGTTAACTGCTTTGGAATCTATTAAATACCGGTCCTGCCATGTGCTTTATCGCTAGGATGTGGTGTAGTAGGTATAAAATGGAAATCTAAAATATGATTTATCCGTTTGATATGTTTCAACGATGAGGAGCATATCGATGTTGCTTCTTAGTGTATATTCTTTTAGCTCGAACATTCTTCATTGCAGCTTGTTGCAGTTCCATTCGATGATTTCGGTTATTTTTGGTTTGCGTGTGTTTTTTGAAGCGTGAGAAATTCTGTTAGGATGGCTGACATTTGGCAAGTGTAATTTCGTATCATTTGATTTGTTTCAGAAGTTTGAAGTGCTAGTTTTTCTATTATACATTCAATATTGTTGATTGTTGTGTCATTACTCGCTTTATCTTCAATATATGGATTCCTCGCTATTTCTGCGCATGTTTTACACGTATCTGATTTTTTCATATCTACATTAGCTACGTTTTCATTGTACATAGGTTGGATTGTTATTGTTGGCTGTGTTGTATTTGTTAACCTTTTGACGGTCACGCCGAAATCACATGTTTCGCTCAGAACGCCACGTGAGATGCACCACTAGATGATGCAAGATTTGTTGTAATATTTTTTTGATGTTCTAATAAAAATCTTTAATTGGACACTTTTTATTTCAAAGTATCTGCTAATTAGCGGTTATATTCAAAATGCACTAACTATCAATTTTCATTCGATGTTGTTCAATGTAGTTTAAGTAGTTCAAGTGCTCCGGTCACCTAATGACCACCGTGGCGTCACGGGAGAAACCGTGCCCGGTCATATATGACCAACGTGGCAGTCAAAGTGTTAACGAGCTAGCAGTGAGACCGTTTCTAATAGGTGGAAAAGTTTTAGCTTGAATTTGTTTCCCGATGACGCGTCCTTTGTAGCTGATCAGATGTTTAACGTCTTCTGTTCGTTCCTGTTTAGGACATTTCGATGTTACATATACTAGTGTACATTTTACACAAGCTAGTTTTCTATTGCAGTAATTTTTGGTTTGTCCAAAGGTCTGACATCTTATGCATTGCGGAATGTCTCTTTAACTCTTGGTAGTTCTATTGTAACTCTTCTAGAGTCACAATAGTAACTCTATTGCAACTATTGCGTTGCACATAAGATTGCCATTGCAAATTTGTTTATCAGTAACTGCAGGTTCTAATTCGACTGAAAACATTGGCAAGGGTGTGGAGGTTCCACGTTTCGTTAGGTTTATAATGCTGAGAGCTTGGTGGCCTAATTTTTCCAAGTCGTATTTCATTTTCTTGATATCGAATTTGTGGTGAAGCCCTTTTGATACTACTTTATCTCTTTCGTAATTTTTACCTTGGAAGGTGTAGTAGTTTGCATCTTTTATTCTTGATGCCTTTATAAATTTTCTGTAATCATCTGAACTAGTAGTTTGAATTCTTACCTGATTGTTTTTTAAATTTTTAATGGTGTATGAATTTGCTTCTAGTAGTCTTGCGGTTCTTGAAGTTCCTATGGTGCTGCATACCCTTAGTTATTGTACTATGATAAGGTAGCAGGTAGAAGGACGAAAGGAAAAGATGAGTGTTTCGTCCAGGCCTACTAGTGGCCTCGTCAGTAAAGGCTTTCTAGCAGGCCAATTTCCAATTCCAATTTAACATACGTTTATTGCGCCAGAAACTAGATACGATAATATACATATAAAAGTACTAAAACGTACAAAAGGGTTACAAATGAAAACTTGGACTATGAGATCAATGGCTCCAGCGTGAAACACTCGCGATCTAGAATCAAACTTAATCTACTGCGCTTGTCGCTATAGGATAATATAAACTTAAGAACTATCTTATATTAGCATGCGTGTTTGCCTATATATAAAAAGGCACGAAAACTGTACAGCTTTTGGTTTTAAGTACTCTGCGTGGCTGAAAAGAAGTCATCTCGTTCGGTTGCGGAGCAAGAGGGGTATTCCACTTGCTCCACCTACACTCTCGCTAGTAATACCCATTCTTCTATGGCACTCCTAAAACTACTACCTCCAAATTCGGCAAAGTGATACGTTAACATAGGCGTAAGATATCCGTAAAATTCTTATACTCGAATAATACATTGTAAGTCTGCAAACATGAGAGCAAAACATGATTATTTTTACTTATACTTCACAAATATTAAACACATATTTAATACGTTTCGTTTCATAAATGGGCGATATATTTATTATTTTAAATTATTTGTATCGTAATGTACATTTCATATAATGGAATTATTTAATTTATTATAAAAAGTATATCCCGTAATTTGAAAATATTTTTGTAGATAGTGTTAAATACGTTAAATTACAAATACATTTATAAAAACTGATTAAAAATTTAAGATCTACTTTTTATGATAAATTAATTATGTAATTGCATCATACTAGATAACCGTTTAAAAAAATCATACGATACACCATAAATATAAAAAATATGTGTATAGTACATCACGTTTGCTGCGTAATGCAATGAAAAGTTAATCAAGATGCTAATTAGTAATTAGTAATTGCAAATAATCATGTGTTCATCAGAAGAATCTGAAGTTAATATGCTTTTGGAATGAGTCTACGCTCTTGCATCTATTTCTTGTGTCTGTCTCACTTTGTCTCGTTGCTTCGTTCGCTTTCTTTGTCACATGGTGTTCTATGACCAGGCTAATAGGAAGGGATCAGTTTTACGAATATGGGAAGCACTTTACTCTACTTCTGCCATGATGTTAGAATGGTTGGGTTTGTGGGGATTGGGTCCTACAAGTTTCTCAGATGACTTCTTTTCAACCACGCAGAGTACACGTAGCTTTACGAAAGTCACCGAGGGTTCGAAGGCCAGGTCAGTCGAAAAACCCTGTGCGATGCGTCAGGCTCTTAGCCCGACCATATTTGGTCATGTTGGGGGAGGCATTGGAAAACGCAAATCATGCAGGGTGTGAATGATGGGAAGAAGAATATAAAAGAACAAGGACGTTCTAAGTCAGAGTTGCAATAAGAGAGTTGTCGATTAGGGAGTTGTAATAGAAGAGTAGTTAGTTGCCAGAGTTGTTGTTGTTGTTGTTGAAGTGTAGGTTGAGCATTGTGATAAGTTGTAATAATTCGTACCTTTATCGTTACTCACATTCTCTATCACTGTTAATTTATTATTAAATAAATATATATCCCATCATCAAATCATCTGTATATATTTAATACGTGTATGAAACATAAGTATAGTTAAATAAAGTTCGGAAATGAACATTCATCGGAAGAATCTGAATTTAATGTTTCAGGGATAAGCCTACGCTCTTGCATCTATTTCTTGCGTCTGATCCTGAAAAGGATAATTTCTGCCAATAAGGGTAGCGCATTTAGTCTACTTCTACGATGACGTTAGAATGGGTAGGGTGGTGAGGGTTAATGGGGATTCAGTCCTACGTTTTGTTCAGCAGACTTCTCGTCTGCAATGCATAGTAGATGGAGCTTCCTTCCGGTTTAATGGAGTCATTGGTTTGTGTCAGTTTATGTTCTTCCATTTCCATCGAATTTGTAGAAGTGATGATTGTCTGACAGTCGTGTAGAATCTGAGTTGTCGGCTCTGCCAGTCTGAATGCGGTTTGTTTGCTGGATTGCACACTCACGCTTCACAGTTTTTATTACAACTCTAGCGGAGCTGTATCCACACGTGTGTTCACGATGACAGTGCGTTTAACACTGAGTATAAATTTTCAGCTGCATCTTTTAATCTCTCTGATAAAATATTCCTGCCTAACCATTCGCTTCTTTTTTAAATTTTTCGTACCCATATAATTATTTCTAATTGTAAGTGGCATTCAGATACATCCCAAAAGTCCAAAATCTTGAGGAGCATATATAGGACCAGTTTTCTCGAACAGAGTTCTTTCTCAATCACTGTATCTCAAACACTGTACATTAGTGATTTTCATCTCACAGTACAAATATATCAATAATTAAAGTTCTGTCTTACAGACAAAGGTATATTGTATTCTTTGCTAATGTAACGAAAAAGTAAGTATAATTTAGATGGATATACAGTATATAGAAAAAGTAATCATAGTAATCACCTATTCCTTCTTGACATCAGTATGTGACTGAATGGTCGACTAAGTAATAAAATAGCAATAATAGTTTTCAAACAGTTTTCAAATTCTCTCAGTGATAGAAAGAATTGGTACTCTATCCCAACAGTGCCTAGTCACACATCTATACATAAAAGCATTTAGATGGTTAGATTTAACATATTTAACAAATTAAATATAATCCATGATCCGAAGTTTCAAGGCCGATATAGTACACATAGCAAGGAAGAAGTTCCAAAATTATGTTAAAAAGAATTAGAAAATAATCTAACGTGAAATATACAATACACTTAATACAAATACGAATCATGATGGCGCTAGTATACTCATAATTAGTGGTACACCAGTGGTAACATCTTGGACCTGCATAGCAGTAGGAGGTGCTTCGATGTCATTTCGAAGTTCTTGAATTTTAAATTAATACTTTATTGATCAATATACTGTAAATCTTCGAATTCCATTATTTTCTAATTTTACCGATATCATTTTCAGACTTCGCCTTTGCTGTATACACTATAGCATTTCAAACACTTTCATCTAATTCGCACTGTAGTATTGCGAACTGAGAAGAACTCTAGCAAAGGAAATAGTATTAACCCTTTCGCTACTATGGACGACTATAGTCACCGACCACGAGACATGATCTACACACAATGGGTGATTATAGTCACCGGCCACAAAAATTGAGTAAAAAATTGAAATGAGTGCTACCGTTCCGCTTAGCTCTCTTCGCAATGAATTGCAAACGCTATTGCGATGATCGGTTTTTCTTTTTTTTCTTTTTGTTCTTCAAAAGGCTTAGCCCTGAATGCTAAAGACTGCACGATCGTAATGTTTCCATCATTGACACAACGCTTCGTTCTACGGGAGGGACTTCGCGGCGCCTCCCGCCATAGCGAAAGGGTTAAGAGTAATAACGGGGCGAATGGGTGTGTGATCCTAGTTCTAATTGTAAGTACATGCATGGGAGAGCTCGGGCCAATTTTCGAAGCGGCTTTTCGGCTCGAGCGTGATGTCTGGAGCGCGTGCTGACGGATAGGTGACCCACCTGCAAGTGTTGTATGGATGAGATATTTATGACCGGGTTGAGTGCAAGCAATGAACGAAAGTCTTAGGAATGTATCCAAGTGTCTGAAGTACACCTGTCCCACCGAGGGCGAGGTTGCGTGGGTAATAAGTGATCATCGAAGAGAACTTGCGTATGAACAGAGAGACTGTTAGACTTCAAATAAGGGTGTAAGGACGCGTGCGAGGCAGAGTGCGTGTAGTCGAGTCGTAGTGAATAGAGAATCGTGTGTTTGAGAGTTAAAGTTCAAGAGTTACGGGAAACATAACGTAATATTTTAGTTAAAATAAATCTGTTTTGTTATTAAAAGGGAATCGTTGCCTATTAGACGCGCAGATGTCAGCATAGGGTTAATCTGGCATGAATCCTACAGTACGTTCCATTTCTTAAAATGTAAAACGTTCGAAAAGTTTCATGTGTAAGTACGTATCACTAAAATTCTGAAGCTCTTCACTGACTGTAGATGAATTTCATTTCTCACACCGATTTCATTCGATGGAAGAATATCAAAAATAAATATACGAACAACCATTCTTTAGATACATTGCTGAATATTCTCGTGTCACTTACACTTTGAAACCGATTTAAAATTTATTTCCCTAAAATAATAGTACTCTATTATAGAATCACTGTTAATATTACTAGCAATAAGTAATAATATTATTCAATTATAATTATTTTTTATTATTGTTTACTTATAATAATTAATTTCGTAATAGCATAATATTTTTTTACTTGCAATAAAATTTTAATAAACACTAATAAATAATAATATTCAATTAACCCATATGTACATAATTATTGCAGAAAAAAATGTTATCTATACTCACCACCATGAGAAGGAAAGCGCTGAATGTTCCAAATGCAATACCTACTGAAAAGTGAATAAGGAATTGTGTAGTTACAATAAGTTCATAATTCGGAGATTCATAGGCCTTAAATGGCAAATCCATTTTGAAAAGGAGCTTCCGTGACATCGTATCGTTGGCTCCTTGAAATCCAACAGTACCGGTGATATAAAATATCACGGCCACTAAACCCGAACCCATGATTAGGCTTGTCACATAATAAGAGAACTGTCCTGTTTTCGATATCAAATTATTCACATCCATAATGGCATAATTTTGACAATCCTCTTCCATAGTATACAATATGTCAGATAACACGCTGTGGAATATTAATTTACCAAGTGAGAATTATCCATTATTCTGGATACAATGAAAGTAAAGCTTTGTTAGTAGTATAAATTAAATTTCGATAAATAGTAATAAATAATCAAACGATATAGTTCGCTTAATTATCAAATGAAATTAACGTGTAAATTATCAAATATAATACAATACATTTAATATAATATAATTAACTTAATGTATGAACATATTAATATCAAATTTAAAGAAGAAATTGTTATGATCGTTCGTAATAATAATAATAATATGAAACCCTTAAATGCGATTACATTTTCCAACAAAAATATAATCACTCTTATCACTACTTGAACAATAATAGAAAATAGTTAAATACAGCTGTAATATCTATAATTTCAGTTAAATTCTGATCATACGTACGTTTATTTAATTCTCTATTCCCTAAATAATTTTTAAAAAGTCATACGTACTTTCACTAGTACAAAAATAAATAATCGAATGGTTAAAATATAACAAACAAACGATAAGCATCTCAATATTAACAATTTATTTTACACTGAACAAAATAGAACATCTGCATAAACTCAGAGTCACCATTTATAGCATTGATTTTGCATTAATTAGATCAGCATGACTTACCCATAATTTGCCCAAGAAACGATCAGCTTGAGGAGCACCATACTGATGGACATGGTGATGCTCAAGTTATTTACTAGATCCATAAGATCTTCAGATCTGAAATGCATGATGATGTATCTGTATTGATAAATCTGAAGCGCAGACAGTACTGTCATCCAGATGAACTTGTGTATAAACGGGTACGGTGTTCTAGGCCAGATACCAGAGAAACGGAGGCCAAACTTAACAGAGGGACTAATCGTGTTTAACGATGACATTTTATACAAGTTAGTTATCACTCCTTTGCCTAAATTCCCTAACGTATCCCTTTCTATTTACGGAATCACGAAATCTACGTAAGCACGCATCACTGTCACCATCAGCAGGCTCACGGGAGACTAGAGCTAGGAGGAAACTTGCTTACGAGCAGTCTCACGATGAACTGAAAGTTTCATAGAAATCATGCGCAAGCATGCACAAAACGACAGCCATCAGTTTCGTATTCCCAGGATCCACATGAATATTGCAAGTAATATCACGATGATTGCAGGCTTGCTAGAAAGTAGCGAATAGCGAAGAAGAGAATTTGTTAATAATATAATTTCAACTTTGTTATAACAACGGCTGGTTTCCACAGGGAAGTATCGAAACAAATGTAGGAAGTAAAAGTGCATATTAGATTGCATTTGGTAGAAGTTGAAGAAAATCAGAAGTTTTCGTCCAGTAGAAATACAATAATATGAAAGCAATGTAAATAACTAATAGCAGTGCAATATTATATGGAAAAACAGCTTAACGCTCTTAAGGAAGACGACACGGATAAAGGTGTCGTTGTGGATGTATTTTAGAAGCTTTAAAGTGTTTCGAAAAGTGATTGAAAATAGCAGTGTCTAATATTTGACAGTTGCGTGACAAAATCTCAAGGATGAGCAGTAAATAGATAGTGCTTAGTTAACCCGATGTAATCTATATTGGTGTATTCAAGAATTAAGAAAAATTTTGGACATTTACAACAAAAAGTATTTAATATTATAATTTTTCTAGTAGAAACTAAACTACAATGAGATGTAATTCTGTATAGACACAGTGTGTTTTTGATTAAGTCTAATTTTATACGTTATAGTTGGTTTATAATCCCTTGTAACGCAAGTTACTAATCAGAGCAGCAAGTATAGTTAACTTCAAACCTAATTCCCATCTAATATTTTCGTGATATTCGTTTGAACATAGACAAACTTGTTACAACAAGAAGATCGCTTATTTCACATTTTTACAGATATTAAACTGCAAATTAACCCCTTCCCGTACAATAACGAGTCTGACTCGTGATGAAGATTTTGGTCCAAACATGAATATCACGAACCGAACCGAACTCGAGAATAGAACATTTTTCTAAATATAGTTTTGAAGCTGTCATCTATTATAAAGTATAATATATTTATAATATTTATAAAAGGAAAAGGATTAGAGTTTACTTCCACAACAGCAGAGTCGCGTAAAACTGGCTATATAACACGTCTTTACATTTCGGCACGTATTGCGACTGTTTTCGAGCATCAATCTGATCTGTTTACTGCGCGTTGACGTCGACAGTTTGGGCCCGAATTTTGACGAGCTAAATGACACGGGAAGAGGTTAACTTAATTTCGAGGAATAAAGAAATTGTTGTAACTAGAACAGCTCTCAAGTTCCTGGACTGAAAAATATAAATATGAATTATTCTCGTCGAAAACTGTTTATTGGTTTAATTATGGACTCGGATATGAGAAATGACCTGATCACAGTCGTTGGAACAAGTCAGTCCTTTGTGACTGTTCAATGGGTAATCTAATCTAACCAATCACACTGAATTTGACTGTATCCACCTTTTCGTTCTAAATTCCCATCCTGGAAAGTGAGATTTGGCTGCTCTAGAAGTTCAGGCTGTGTTTTCCAAATAATACACTTTACAGCCTCCAAGCCTTACAGTCTAACTGTCAATTTTTCTCGTTATTTGCCAATTTCAGTTCTCAACATTCAATAAATTATGTGATTTTCAATTAATTTCGTGACTTTCAATTAATTTTCAGTACTTATTAATAAAGCGGACAATTGCACGCATATTTGTTTAATGTTAATGTCAAAGAAGGGATCGGATATTGTCTTTGTACCAGCTATTGCTACAATGAAATCTTGTATGGAGCAATTTAGTAAGATAAGCTTAATAGTAATAGACTTTCGTTAGACATTCGGCTGACGGATAAATCCGTTGAGAGTACAAGTCTATAACAACTCTATAATGCGATTAATTCCTACTACGTCATATGAGTGCCTCCAGATTGACAACTATATAGTAAGGGAAACATTTTACTATCGCAGCAGTTGCTTGGCCATTGTTTATTGACTATAACATTAAAAATAAACATTAAACGTTTCGCGGTAATTAAAATGGTACAGTCTCCTATAACGCGATTAATTCGTACCACGTTATATGGAAACAGTGTTATAGGAAAATCAGAATTAATTGAAATCAGGAAATGCGTTCCACGTGAACCGCGTTATGATAAACATAGTAATAAGACGAATCAAATTAATTTATACCGCGTTATGTGGAAACCACTGTCGTGCTATACAGGAATCGCTCTATAAAAAACTCAGAAATAATGCAAACGAATGAATTCGTGCCGCGTTATATGGAATCACAGAAATAAATAAATTGCACATAAATCAGACCTATATAAAAATTGCACTCTCAAAGTTTCAAGTTGCTACTGATACGGTTAATAAATAAAATTTTACGATAGAAATGGCAATGAAAATGTAGATTTGTACATATTTGAATTTAGGTTTATCGAATACATAGTTCGTATAATAAAATTATAAACTAAAAAAGTTGTGCAACTGAAACAAATCTTTTCCGTATCTAAAATATTCTTAACAAATGTTTTTATTTTGAATTTAATTAAAATAAAATACTGTAATACCGAAACAAAATATCCTGATTTGATCAAATATTCTGGCTTTCAACTGTAAAGCATGACAAGTCCTTAGACTATTATGAAGTTATTATATACATTATAATATCTACATAATTTACCATTTTTGTTACCCTTACCGTTACCATTATTATGTTCGTTAAACTTAAATAATTAATATAGATTATTTCAATCGCTACAAATTACAATTTCAATTGCTATACTATACATCTAAAATTGGCAACTTTTTCACAAAACAGAGCACTTCAAATATCTGACTTATGATATTTTAATTCCACTAGTAATAAATTATTACCTTAGCTTAACTGTTGACTCGTGAATTACAGATGAATTGCAGTGAAGTGCACTTAAGAACGTTTCCCAAACACATAATATTACTATTATTCTATTAATATGGAAGCACAATATATATATCACAGAAAGCATTATTCTGTGAATATTTCATTAATATGTGAATAACAAGAGCACAAGTGTGATGGCCTTTTATTTGCTTATATGATTAAATTATGTTATTAAAACACGATATAAGATAATAATAAAATTAAGTTTTCGCAAGAATCATAAAAAACATATTTTCTATTTCCGAAATGTAGGATGGCGAAAGCTGGTCTTGAGACACCAAAAATTGACGAAAGAAAAGGAACACAATAACACAAGCTTAAAACTCGTAAACTGATTTAACTTAGGAAAGAACACCAAGATACGAAAACACACAAAGACGCACTCTTTTAAAACTCTCTTTCCAACACCAAGCTACTCACGCTTGTGCTGGTCACAACCGATTTCTAAGGACTCTGTTTTGGTTGTCAAAAACCACGCTTTTATGCTTTCCTTAACTTACGCTTCACCTCCCCGTAGAGGAGCCACGCAACTTAATTTTGTTATATAGAATAACTTTTCGATTTGCTTCTAGAAGATATCGATCGGTTTACAATTTGTTTTTGTTGACAATAGCCGATTCGCGATTTCTTTTGGTATCCTGCAGAAATCTATTAAGAGTATGCAAAATTATAACAAATATAATAAATGAAGTCTGAAAAAAATACAATTAATTTTAAGGAATCGAATTATATATACGTTTACACACTAAATACATAGAATACTTTTGATCTTAGAAAATGGTTAAATGACATTGTATTTTCTGGAAATTATAAAAAATTAATTAAATTTTTAATAAAAATTTTCTATTAAATATCATAACATGTGTACATATTTCAGTAACATTATGTTTACCAAACTCTGAGTCGATTATTTCCTCGTATTGCAATATTAATTGTAATTTGAGAATATCCCATAGTAACCTTTTGCAACCATAATATGTTTTAGGTGTTTCAGTCCATTGCGTATAATACCGAGACATATGAGGCAGAAGCTTTCAACATCTATAACATAGAATACACAGTATAGAAATACATTATTACGATAATATTGTTTTAATATTATTAATTATTATTCTAATTTCAACAAATTAAATAGAAATATATATCAAAATTTATCAAATGAAGTAAGAAAAAATATATGTTATAGTATCGCAGGCTGACGAATCCTAAGAAGGGATGTTTTTAGCGTTTAATGTCCTGATTATACTAATAGCTAGTACCTAAGTTTCAGATGATTGTTAGCGAGAATTTTAATATGTAATAAGTAACCGTCTTAGAAGATCTGTTACGGTCTTCTAGAAGTCAGGTCCTAAATTCTGAGCAACTCGATGCTCGTACTTTATACTTTATATACGGTACTTTCTATGTTTATTTGTTTATTGTATATTGTAGCTAAACGTCGTTGTTATCTCGGGTCACCGTGTGGTAATGGTTGAAAATGTTTAGAAGAATGTGTCAGAATGAAACAATTACGTGAGAATCATGAAAGAGTAAGCATGTGTTAATAAGACTGCGAGAGAGGGAGAGATAGAGAAGAATTTTCTAGATAGCGTGAATCTTTTTGTTTAAAATATTATATTGCGAATTGATGTCATAATTTAAATTTTATTATATAAATATATTAATTTGTTAACTGTTAAAAAACGTACAAGAAATTGGTTTCCATTTCTATCCACAAGTTACAATCTAGAATTGATTGAGAGCAAACGTGTGTACGAGTGACGTAAGAAAGTATAAACGTAATTAGTTATATTTCATCGTTAATTTTTACCGTAAGTTATGATATTATTGTGGTAGTGGTTACATAGATTTTTAAGTATATATGTGTTGGGATGAGTGGAACAAGTATGCATGGGATTCCAATATGTAATGAATTCAGGTTATTATGATAAATGAGTATGCGTGTAATGATCGAGGTGTGTGTGAATTGTGTATGTCAATGTAATGTATGAAGAAGAAAGAAAAAGAGAGAGTGATTTGGGATACGTTAGTTGCAATTGAGTCCTGTGATAGAGTAATTGTGAGAAATTAATTATATTTAAACGTTATATTTGTGTTTTATAATCTCTCTAATTAAATAAAGAATTGTTCTTATTGTTATTAAATTTCATCCACCACGAACAATTATTTAATAAATATATAATATTTTTCATTTAAATATAATATCCACGACTAACACACCTAACACGAGGTGTCATTTAAAAGCCTAATTTGTTGAACTAATATCAGTGTTATTATATTGTGAAATTAGCCTTAGAATTATAATAAGCTCATCCTTTTGCATCTAATTGTAAATTATTATTTATGTTAACCAGGGACAAAGTTATCTCTGTGTGTGCAATTTCCCTATTCCTTCATCTTCTTTTCTATTCTACATATATTTATTAAACTTAAAAATTAATACTGATCCGTCGAGCAAAGGCGTGATACGTGGAACAGAGACAGGCCTGGAGAAGCCGGTTACAACGTCGAATCCCGAATGCCGGAAAAACAGGATCATCGGAATTTTCTAATTTATCATATCGTCATTTTGAAACTTTAGAAAACTTCCTGTTTATTGCTTCGAATGGTCCCAAACAGACGAAGCAGTTCAACTCTAATTTGGCAAAGTTGGGTAGCGGCACTTGGGATTTGTCTGGCAGTGGGCCTGCAGATATCAACACAAATCTGCGTGCCCTTAGACCTCGGCGAGCTAAGGGCTCATAAACGGATATCGTTGCGACCCGAACCCTGTAATTCTGACGGTGGGAATTTCGTTGTAAGGCCCGTTTACACAGATACGACAATGTTACTGGGATACGAACTACTCTAAATTAACACTTTACTGACCGATAGCCTATTAACACTTTGACTGCCACGTAGGTCATATATGACTGGCCACGGTTTCTCCTGTGACGCCACGGTGGTCATTGGTGATCGAAGTGCTTGAACTACTTGAACTACATTAAACAATATTAAATGAAAATTGACAGTTAGTGCATTTTCAATATAACCGCTAATTAGAAGATACTTTGAAATAAAAAGTGCCCTATTCGTAGGAAGGATTTTAGTAAAACTAGGCTCTGTGCTTCTGAGTAACTTCTTTATTCTCTTCGTGCTCTGGTCGGATAGTGCCCCGAAAACGCATCCCTCGCTGTTTTATAGGGCGTGTCGCCTCTCCGTCGCCTTGTCTTCGCGTGCCAGTAGCCTCTTCCGCTGAGCTCCAGTCCAGACGCCCCAGCTTGGTGTCTAGCATCCTCATCTGTGGATGTTGTCCTTGGGCCTTCCTAGGACTCCAACGAAGAGCTATCTCCCGCCGGAAGACAATGGGCCGCGGTGAAAGTTGCCCACACATTGAAAGATTAAAAATTTGTTATTAGAACATTAAAAAAATATTAGAACAAATCTCGTACCTAGCTAGTCCTGGGGGAAACATGTGATTTCGGCGTGTCAGTCAGCCTATTAATCGGTTGCCATTATCATTACAACAGTCATCATTATATGAACAGTAATTTGTTATTTAGTATTAAGGTTGCTCAGTTACGTCAGCTGAGTTACTTTGTAAGCTCCCACATTTTTATACTGGAGTAGTTTTATATAGGGTGCGCCAGAGAGAATCTGCGGCTGACAATGAACGGCCGGTCAGATGTGAGAATGCTGTTGAATCGCTAGCAATCGGTAAAGTGTTAATACAGCTAGACCTGGTTAGGGGTGAACTAAAGAGCTCTGATGTGTGACAATCTCTCACGCTAACAATAAGTTGATTGTCGTGGGTCTGTCTTGACTGTCTGGTCGTGATACTTGTCTTGTCTTCTTGGGATTTTTAGAAGAACTCTCTCGTGACTGCTGTCTCGGTAGTTTATAAGTTTTGTATGTATACCAATTAGTTGGTGCGAAATGTAAGTGGTGGTTGTGTGTCTTCCTATTTGTTGTGAATAATATCGAGGATGTGTATTAGCTTCGACGTCTTTCAGTGGTGGTGGATGTTTAAATAATTTAGGTCCTTATGCTTATCGTCTTATGGGTGATTTATTGATCCTTGCTAGGGATTACCCAAGTGGTGATTAGGTGATAACGAGTGTATACGAATCAAGGAAT